GGAGACTCCCCCACCTTGGGGGAGCAGGGAGCACGGGTGGACACGCATGTGGCTGGGGAGCAGGCTGCATATGAAATGGCAATGCGCAAAGTAACCACCCCAACTGCAGAAGGCCGGGGGAGGGGAGGGGACGCAGGGCTGAAATTTCTGCAACTGATGCAGGGCAAAAAGAAAGAGGGAGAAAGAAAAAAAAAAAAAAAAAAAAAGATGTGGTATTACTGTTTTAAAATGGCAGCCTGTTAATAATCACTGCATTCCTGAAAACACAGGGCAATCCCAGCTCCGCCTTCTCCCCTGACCGAGCACAGTGCTCACTCCCTGGGAACTGGTGGGCTTGGCGCTGAGGCTCCCTTTAAAAAAAACCCTGGAGGTGCCACTCAGGAGTTTATAGGCTTGGAGACCTTATACTTCTCTGACAAAGAAAAAAACAAACAAAAAAAGATACGAAAATGCTGTTTTCGCCTGGCAGGGCTTAGTTACTCTGGACAGAATGGTTCTTGCATGTATGTTTTTCTTCAAAATGTACACAAAGCGGCCCTGAAACACAGCTTTTGGTTCACAGATCAAAACATCTATTTTGCATTTCTTCTCCCTTAATATTGTCTCCTTCAAGAAAATCACTTTCCCTCTCTCCCTCTCTCCCTCTCTCCCTCTCTCCCTCTCTCCCTCTCTCCCTCTCTCCCTCTCTCCCTCTCTCTCTCTCTCTCCCTCCCAATCTCTCTCTCTCTGTATACACTGTATGAACTGGAAGGTTATTCTTAATGTGAATTTGGATCGTCTCTCTTCAGTTCATATATTGCACGAACCACATACTGGGTTGTATATTTTCAGGCCATCCTGAGTATTTACTTTTAAAATCAGACACTTGGTTTAACAGTGGATGAAGGAAGGCTAAAAAAAAAAGTCCTTAACAACAACACACCCGGCAGGGAGCCGTGTGAAATATGGAATGACAGTGTTTGTATCACAGAAATGCCAAGAAGAAAGCATTCCTTTGTCACGGAGTGTAAATGAACACTATCAATTTAAAGGGTACACATATCTTTCATGCAAGTCTGGAAGAGGTTTTAAGTCTCTATGCTTTCATGTAATCATAAAGAAAGCATGAAAAGAAGTCAGTATTACCCAAATCACTCTGCTATCCACAAAGTTAAGAACCATCGAGAGTCACTTTTACAAATCACAAATTTCTGAAAAAGGAATTTTGAAGTACAAGTACTTTCCGTTCTATTCGGTATTTTATTTCAACGGCAACATTTTGAATACATGCACATTTGTACAACTACCAGGGGAAAAATAACTTGAACCAAATTGAAAAATTACCATAACTACTAGTTCAATATGTCTGGTTAAAATAGAGACATCTGGTCTGTCATTAATTCTTTTGTGCTGATGACTCCTAGTGTGCCTTTTCCCATCAATGAACTTTGCAAGAAAAAAAAAAAATACAACTTCTAACAACAAAAAACCCCACGACTCAGAAATCTATTTCAACATTTGCCAATACAGATATGTTATGATTAGTTCAAACAAAGCACAGTGCTTTTCAAGAATAGCAACTGTACCCTGATTGAATGCAAATGGTTAGCTTTAAATTCCATCAGATTGATGTTCTGAAGTCATTCTCTGCAGGCAAATATGGCTAATTCATGAAAATATTTATAAGTCGACACATTGTTCACTTGTTTAAAATGCATGCGCTGAAGCTCCATAATAATACTTGATTGCCACTCCAAGGAATCTGAATAATACGTTTTGCACACCCCCACACGATTCTGAATTAATGGCTGGGCAAACAATAAGTAATGTACTGCGCTCTAGCAAAAACCCAGCGATAACACCAACCCGGCATCTACGGAACACTGCCGGCTTACTTTCCACAGATCTCTCACCACTAAGTTTCCTCTCCTGCAGGCAGTTCACTAGGGAATGGCTATGACCTCCCCATTCTTCCCCAGAGAGGGAGTGATTTGGCAATTAATATGATCGCAAATGGGGGGAGAAACCGTGACATACATGACTTACAAATGAAGAGAGGAAGGAAAGGGGCCTGGCCCCTTTCGCTACCAATAACTAGATGACCGTTTTAAAAAGGACTTTTGTCACTGCTTCACAGGGCAATAGGACCAGTGATCGAAAGCCCTTTGCTGGAATCCACAGGCATACCGGGAAGGCCCTTCAACCAAACTCAGATAATGCCTTTGGACAAATGTTCTCCTTGAGCAGGACGTAGTTATTCAAAACCATAAAAAACACACCAACAGACCACGGTTATAGAACACAACCTTTACAAAGCCAACCTTAACATGTCCTGGAGTCTCCCCTCCCACACCCACCCCCTGCTGCATGCAGTCTGCTTTCTTTAGGCCAATTTATAACAGATAGTAAGTTGGTGAATAAATATTTAATTTATGCAGCCGAGACCCTGAAAGGCTGATCTCCAAATGCAATAAGCCTTGCATTCCCATGAGGCACACTGTACAGAAATATCCTTTTTTAAAAACCATCTACAGCTGTCCTTTAAGAGGAGAAGGGAAGAGGAAAAACCCACACATACACATGCGTCGAACCGAGGCGCCGACGCCCCTCTGCCAGCCGGCATGTCTATAGAGACATTCTCCCGATGATTAAAATGTAAGCCCAGCTCCGAAAGGTTCCAGAGGAGGAAAAGCAGCCGAGTAACGCCGCCCAGGAAGCCGGCCGCGAAACACACCTCCCTGCACGCTGAGCAAGCTCGCCCCACACATGACACCGACCCAACTTCCCCAAACACACACACACACACACACACACACACACACCGGCACACGCTCACGGATTGCACACACGTGCACAGAATGTACACACAAACACCGAGCGGGGCACAATACCTAACACACACACACACACACAAACGAACTTGATCGACACACAAAACACATGCACGTATCGGTGTGCAGACAAGAACGCACCCACGTCGCGGCACACAGACCCCAGCAGCGCCCAAGCCCGCATGCACGCGCCTCGCAAGTCCGTGCGGGACACACACCGTGCACGCACGTGGAAAATGCATGAACTCACGGGACCCATGGCCCGCAGCCCGCGCCGGAGTTATTGATGGAATTCCGGGGGCGGGGGCGGGGGCGGCGGGAGGGGAGCGGCCACACAAAGGTCTCCGGGCGGCCGGGCGGCCGGGCGGGGAGCGGGGAGCGGGGAGCGGGCGGGCCGTGCGCTCGGAAATGCCCCGCGGAGCGGCCCCCGCCGAGCGCGGACGGCGAAGTGCGGGGAAGTGTCCCGGGCGCGGCGGGCGCGGGGATCCCCGAGACGATCGCTGCGCCCCGTCCGCGCGCACGCAGCCCCACGGGGGCCGGCGAGCCCACTCCCGCGGAATAACAAAGAGCGGGCGCCGGGCGCGGCGGCGGCTCGGGCTGGGGGCGGCCGTCTCGGCTGCCGCGGGCGGCGCGGGGCGAGCGGCGGGCGGGGCGGTACGTACCAGGCGGGCAGCCTCGGCCCAGGTGCGGTCCTTCTTCTTCCTCTTGTCTTTCATGTTTGCATCTCATTGAGGGTGCTGCTGGGGACGCGGGGGACTCCACGCGCGCTCGGGGCTCGGGCGCCGAGACAATGACCCAGTGACCCGGTGACCCGCACTCGCTCCTCCGCGGGGGGAGGCGCGCGGGCGGCGGCGGGAGGGAGGGAGGGAGGGAGGGAGCCGGGGGTGGGGTGGGCGCTGGGGGCGCGCGGGCGGCGGCGCGCGGGGGGCGGGCGGGGGCGGCGCGGCGGGGCCGGGGCGGGGGCGGGGGCGGCGCGGGGCCGGGCTCGCCGGTGCGGGGCTCGCGCTGCGCCGCCGCCGCCGCCCGGCCGCCGCGGTGACAGCTCCGGGGATGCTGCGCTCGGCCCGGCTCCCAACAATACACTCTGACGTCACGGGGAATGGCGACGGGCCGCACACCCGCCGCTCACACTCGCCCTCGCGCGCGCACACTCGCCGCGCGCCCCCCTCCAGCCACGCCCTGCGCCCCTGGCCAGACCCACCCCCCTGCGCCCCGGCCCCCCCGCCGGCGCGGGCGCTGCCTTGCGGGGCGCAGGCCGGGCGCCCCAGCCGCGCGGGAGGCTGAGAGCCAGGGGCGCGGGGGCCTTGGGAACTTGGGTCCGAGTCCGCTGGCAACTCGGAGAGCCTCCGTCTTGGGCGCTCACACTCCCGAGACCCCCCTTTTCTTCCCCCCGCGCACACAGCCCAGCACCCCCTCTGCTGGCTCCTTCCCTCTCCTCCGCTGGGCTGGGAGCATTCCCGGAGCCTTGGGGGGAGTCTTGTGGGGAGCCCCGGGGAGAGGGCACCGCAGCCGCCCACCCCGAGCCAAGGTTGGACGTGCAGCTGGACACCGCGCGGAGCCACCCAGTCACCCTCCACAATGCCAGAGCCCGGCTGCAGGGCGGGGCGGCCTGGCCTCAGCGCGGTGATTTGTAAATTGCGTGCAGCCATCCTTCTGGACCACAAAACGTGCTGCATCGGAAACAGCTCCGCGGCCAACGCGGATTTTTAAAATGATAATTGCCAGGCTTGGGATGCGTGGAGAGTTGGGCTGTTAACCTTGTCAGCGAACTGCAAACACACACACACACACACACACACACACACACACACACACACACACACACTTACGCAAACAACTGTGAAGACTTGAGAGTTTATTGTAACCTTCCCAGCCTCTGAGATCGCTGGTGAACGGTGTAGGTCTATAAAGTTACTGTAAGCAAAGAAAGACTTGGCTCTGGCCCTCACAGTAATTATGTGTGCCTTTACCTTGAGGATCTAAAACACAAAAAGGGCACTCGTACTGGATTATTTATGGAAGGTTATTTCCCGAATACAAAAATAATGGTATGTAAACAGTACTGCGTGGGGGTTTTTTTCATTTACGCTATTTCATTTGATCCTCAAAACATCGCAGTTAAACCTATTTGTTCACGCTGCTACAAAAATGAGGAAATGAAGCTGAAAGCATTATATTGTATCCAAGGTCTCTTGCAAAAGCAGTGTTAAGAACCTAACCCAAATCTTTTGACCCTAAGCCCTCATTCTCTCTATTATTCTAAAAGACAATGTTTAAAAACAAATAGCCCTAACTAGAAGTGAACGTCTACGTTGAAGAAAAGACATGTCTGAGAATGGGAACAATTACAGTAATCTGACTCCTTTCAGAACACTGTCCAATGACTGAGGTCATAAAAATATTTGACTACCAGCATTTAATCAGTGGCAGTTCATAATCATAAAGAGCTGATTATGTTAATTATTTTAAAATATGTGCATTATTAATGCACTAGAATAAGGGAAAGCTATGCATCTATTTAAGAAAATATCAAAAGATTATCTTCACTTTTTTCTTTTTTAAATGGATTTGAGAACACACTGAAGTTATCCTGAGGGGAAAACTTTACCCAGACACTGTGCATAACTCTATCCAGGTGTGTTATATTTTTACTTTACATTTCAAATATATTAAATTTGAATAACATTCACATCTGCTTTTATTTTCAAGAATCCTCTTTATGGCTAAAGTAATGGATATATTTTCAAAGTATTCTCATTCTAATGTTTTCTCCTCTGTTCAGAAATAGCTATGTTAAGCAATCAGACCATAACATATAATTTGTTATTTTCTGTGGAATAGTGCTTAATAAGAAGTTTTGGAGCCAGCTAAAGGGAAACATGCATATTTAGTTGCTCTAAAGAAACTTATTATTCTTTAATAACCAACTTGATTATCAAAGAGGAGAAAATATATCATCATACTGAAGCAGATGTAAATTCATTGCTTTAAAAAAAAAAGCGATCTGAAACAAAAAAATTACCCATTCTATGACAGTGAGCCAAGCGTAAATAATCAATATGATGAACTGACTCTTAGAATGCATTTTGGGGTATTTGAGTATAAATAGTCCCTCGCAGGTAAGTTTGGTTAAAGACTTGGTGAGTATTTGATGCCAAAATAACACACACTTCATAGAGCGCCGGAACAGAGATGGGCCTACCCATGTACATTCAATCATCCTTTCCATTATGGCTCCCTCAAGCTCAGTAATTGTCTGTGTTGGGAGGAGGGAAATATGACTTAAGTACTGATCTTTTATATTTGGGAAATTACACGAATCTCTCTCTTTTTTTAAAAGAGGTAGAAAGTGATAAATGTCACCAGAAATATACAAGTCAAATTATGTGAAAACTAATAAGAGGAATAACTCTCTACTGAGAAGATGTTTTAAAAGGCTTTAAAAAAGAGATGTCCTGCCGAAATCGGTTTGGCTCAGTGGTAGAGCGTTGGTCTGCGGACTGAAGGGTCCCAGGTTCGATTCTGGTCAAGGGCATGTACTTTGGTTGCAGGCACATCCCCGGTAGGGGGTGTGCAGGAGGCAACTGGTTGATGTTTCTCTCTCATCGACGTTTCTATTTCTCTATCTCTCTCCCTTCCTCTCTGTAAAAAATCAATAAAATATACTTTAAAAAAAAAAAGAGAGAGAGAGATGTCCTTTGGAGTGGGATTTGAAAGATGGTAGGATTTGAACTTTTGAATTTGTAGGAATGGAGAAAAACGTTCCCACTAGAAGTGCAGCCAAAGTCAGGACAGTGTAGGGCGAGGGAAATATTCACATGTATGGGCGACACCCATCAAGTGCCATAGCATTCCTTTCAAGTTCCTATCAGAGCCAATGCATCTCAGGAAGCCTTCCTTTCTGTGAGGAGAGGAGCAAGGTTTCCCTTAAAACTGCCCTCCACTTCCTTTGGTGACAACCCACAAGACATAAACAGCACCTCCTCTGAATCCCTGGGCTGGCTTTCTCCAATGCTGGCTCCTACGTTTGGAACTCAACATTTCCTGTGGTGCACGTCCCAGCAGACCTTTTCCTGTCCTGGAATGTTAAGTAGTTTTAGATGTTTAACGATTGGTAGACACACCATACAGAGCAACCCGGACAGCAATATAAGACAAAACAGAGGCGAGGGTGCATTTTAGAAATGGGTTAACATTCATAGGAGACTCCGACAAAGGGGGTGAGGGGTAGGAGGGAGAGAGAGAGAGACCTAAGAATTAGGGGCAGAAGTTGTGTCATGGTCTGTCGGAAAATGTAATCAAAGTGTTAACCAAATATGGGAAAGTTTAGGCAGGAATAAGGGCCTGGGACTGCTTTTATTGCCATCCCACACACCCCATGGAAGTCTGGAATGAATGAAGTTTCCTCCCCCCCTCCCCCACACAGGCCCACCAGCAGGCCCCACTCTGAGCAGAAGGTGGGGTGAGCAGGGAGTCATAAAAGTGGGGAGGGGAGAAGAAAGGCAATGCTGCAGGGGAGATGGGAGGGGTCCGAGGGGGTCTGCATAACCATGCAACAGTGAGTGCTGCTTCTGAAATACATTTATTATGCACAAACTGGGGATCTCTGAATTCTACAAATAGGAACATTTAATAATCTTATTTCTCCCGATCAATTAGGAAATTCCATAACTGATGAAGACGGTCACCTTGTCTCCTTGGTCCTGTACCCAACTCACTGAATTCTCGGCACTAAGCAAAGGACTTTCCATAACCTAGGCCACAGTAAATAATCACTGAGTAAAAAATAAACGATTGGAAATGCAGTAATATGATCCTCTTATTGTAAACACAATAAAAGTTCAATCAAGGTATATTTCCTTTTCCCCCCACTCCTACTAGCACCATGTTTTGGTTGTTTTTTTCTTCCTATAATTCACTGAGCAATTCAGGGGTAATACCCAGTGAAGTAAAATAAAGCCAAGCATTGGTGTTAGTGATCATAGTCAGATATTACTGAAGGATGCTCCCCAGGGCTGTAAGTGCTGGCCTGGTCCCTCTTATTTTCTTCCCATGTGGACTATGTTGCTCATTTTTCACGTGTCTCAATATAGTCTCTTAAAGCCGGTTTACACTGTGACTATAAATATTAGCTGCACTTCGGGAACATTCAGAAGGGCTTTAGTCACATTATCCAAGACTAATTGTTCCTGAACTCCTGACAGTCCTTCCACTAGGGAAGGAGTGGGTTAGTTGTGGTTACTTTGTTTTTTCACTTGGCTTCTACAAGAGTTTAAAATGTCAAGATTTAGGTGTACTATGATTGTAGAGATAAGTAGGAAAAAATATTTAAAAAAAAATCTTACACATTATTTCCAAAACTTTTTTGGTAGCTGATTTTACTGGCATTGTCAAAGCATATAGCTTTTTTGTTGGAGCTGATTGGAGGTAAGTGATCAACTTGTAAGACTGCTCATGTTTCAATTCTCCAGTCAACTTGTATGACTATCTCATTTCAGGGCATTAATTAAAAAATAGGTGTTTTCCTGTTACAGCCAAACCCTGTAGCCTCTAAAGCTTTCTTAACTCTGAGGAGGAATCGAATAAGGTGGCAAAACTATTTTCCTCTTTTTCACTTTCCTAAAATCAAATCAATCAATCTCTCTCTCTCTCTCTCTCTCTCCCTCTCTCTCTCTCTCTCTCTCTCTCTCTCTCTCTCTCCTGTTTTATCTAAGTACTTCCTTTTGGAAATAACAAACTCTGCTTCTGAGTAGAGCCCTTCATTCAAGAATTTACCTTTTCCCCCTTTAAACCCTTAATTGGGCATAGAGAACACAGTCTGATTTATGGCCTCCCCTTTAACAGGACTCACACTTAATCCATTACACAAAGAGGGATACACAGATTCCCTAACAGCACCACTCATTAAGTTTATACAGAATGAGAAGGGGAAAAAAGCACAACACTTAGCAAATGTAAATAAAGCTTTGCTTGATACTGTCTTCTTATGCATATGTAATGTGATCAGAATATCAACAGAGCAGTCTAACAGCTTTTTGCTTATTTTCAAAACCACAAATTAGATTTCTCTAGGTAAACTCTAATTCACATTTAGTGGTTAAGAAGGAAAATTACATGCTGCTAAATTCATCTTTGTGTGGAAAGAATGTTCTCAGTGCACAAAAGAGAAGACTAGAATTCCGATTACTATGTCTGTCTGTCTCGGGCTCTGGAATGCCAAGGACTCCGGCCATGCTGCTGATACTCTTTCTTGCCTCAGTGTCTGTGTTTACCAAAAGGGTAACTTCTGTGATTGAGAGCTTGCTCCCTACCCCCCACCTCCCCCCCCCCCCCAAAAAAAAAAGAACCTTAAGGAATCATTAATAAGTTACTCCAGTTACTTTCCACCTACCTGCTATTTTAGGTTACACAGTGAGGTGTATGGAGTACACACTGTAGGTATTAACCTAGCCATGGAATGTCCTCTCCATTCCATGCATAGCAACAAAGGCTCAAAGGAAGATATGTAAAGCCACCCTGCGACTTTTACAAGGGTGAAGTGATGGGGAGAGAGGACTCCTTTTGTGACTGAAGAATTCCCATTGCTTTCCCGTTGAGTTTATTGCAGGGGACACGGCTGATCACCTCAGCCAACACCCTTCCAGTAACCACGCCTGACCTGCTCTGGGAGATCTGAGTAACTGGGAGATCTCTAAGGAGCCCATTGTAGCCAAGGAAATGCCATCCGATTGTCTACTGGTTGATGGGGTGAGAGAAAAGAAGTGGTGGCGTGTGGGTATGCAGGAACTGCCACCTCTACTCGGAGACACACCTGGCGGCCCAGAAAGGCAGCAGCCTGCCTTTCAGAAAGGAGAGCCATGTCCCTGCAGTGTCTGAATTCCACCCAGGACTTTCATAGCCCTAGGGAGGCTTGGGTGGGGGTGGAGCGAAGCATGTTTACCTTTTGTGCAAGAACGTAGAGATCCAGGGAGAGCAATTCTTGCTCACCTACTCCCCCTGACTTCCTACCCCTCTATCATCCCATTTAGGCAAGGTATCCCCAAGGAAAAGGATCAAAGGCAGTGATGACATTTAGATGTCAAAATAGTGAATCATGCATTTTAACAATCCCTGGATTGTGTTTCTGGTTAGAATTTTGATCAATGTGCATTTCTCAGTAGAAAATTCTTTTCTCTGGAGATTTTCTGCTTTTTAGACCCAAAGCTGATTAAGTCTATAGTAGATTCCCTAATGTCTAGACCACAATTCTTCTGCCTAACCTACAATTATTTATATAATTTCCGTTTCATAAAACTAATTCTTGCCGGCCGGTGTGGTTCAGTGGTTGAGCTTCAAGCCATGAGGTCACTAGTTTGATTCCAGGAAGGGCACATGCCGAGTTTCCGGCTAGATAGGCAGTTGATCTATATTTCTCTCTCATTGATGTTTCTATCTCTCTATCCCTCTCCATTCCCTGCTCTCTAAAATCAATAAAAACATATATATTTTTTTAAAGCAAAAAAACGAATTCCTTTTTTCTCTCTATTTGTAGGCTCATTGCAGACAGAGTTCTCTACCCAGGCAAGAACTATTTTGTTTTGGTAACATTTTTTTTTAAGCTTTCTTTTTAAAAATTTCTATTCTTTTAAAAATGTAAGGTATAATTAACAACAAATAAAATGCACAGGCCTCACGTTACCTTCAATGGCGCTTGGTTATTGTACAGACCCCAGTAACATTTACAAGACAGGGACCATTTCCATCAGAATGTTTCCTTATGCTATTTCCAGTCATTACCCACCCCTCACAGAAACAGCTGTTTTCAGACTTTAATCACAATAGATGAGTTTGGCCTGTTAATGGACTGTTTACATTTTCCCCTGCCTGTGGCTTATCTATTCATTTTTGTAATGGTGTCTGGTATACCTAATGATGTCCAATTTATATTTTTTTTCTTCTTATGAATAGGGCTTTTGAGAATTGAACAAGAAATGGTTGCCTACTTCAAATTCAAGAAGATTGTCTCCTATCTTTTATTCCCAAGTTTTGATATATTTTTCCCCTTTTGAAAATAGTATTTACAAGTTATTATTGGATTACTTGTTGATGAAAACCAGAAATGACATTGATTTTAGAATGTTGATCTTGTATACTGTGACCTTGCTGAATTCTCTTATTGGGGTTATTATAGTTTCAGTGTCTATAATTACGTTGTTTACAAATAATAGAAATTTTATTTATTTTCTGATGTAATGCATTTCATTTTATTTTTCTTGCCCTGGCTAAAACCTCTAGAAAAGTTCTGAATATAGATGGCAAGAATAAACACACTTGCCCTGTTCCCAAACTTTGGAGTGAAGAGATTCGTGTTTCATGTAGGTATCATGTTAGCTTCATGTAGTTACCATGTTAACTGTATGGTTTTTGTAGATGCCCTTCCTCTGACTGAGGAATTGAGCTTCTTTTCCAAAAGGCTAACAGTTCCTCCTTTCACCCTCTGGGGGTGAGTTTTAAATTTTACCAAGAACTTTTCTGCATCTACTTAGGGAATGATAAGATCTTGTCTCTTATTTTGTTAATATATTGTGTGTTACATTGATTGATTTTCTAATATTAAACTCCTCTTGCAGTTCTACAATAAATCCCACTTGATTTTGTCTTTCATTACACTTTGATATGTGGCTTGACTCACTTTTCTAGTATTTTGTTAATGATTTTTGTCTGTATGCTCATGAGGAATATTGGTCTTCAGTGTTATTTTCTTTTAGTATTTTGAGATATCTTAATATCACAGTATTGATGAATTCATAACATGACTTGGAAAGTTTATTTCCCCTTTGCATGTCAAAATACTGACAGAACTGTTACTGGGTTAGCATTATTTCCTCCCTAAATGTTTAGTGCAATTTATTGCTGAGACCCCCTAGAAATGAAGCTGTGTGTGTGTGTGTGTGTGTGAATATTTTTGACAGCAAATCCAATTTCTGTAATGTATTCAAATCTACTTATTAATTTTCTCATTGAAATGACTTGATACATCTGAAAATCAATTGAGCATAATGATATAGGTATTTTTCTGGTTGTCTACTAGGTTGCACTTATATATGCATGTGCTTGCACCAATATCACAATGTTATTATTGAACCTGAGGATATTTTTCCCATTGATTTTTAGAGACATCAATGTGAGAGAAACACATGGATTGGTTGCTTCCTGCATGAGTACGGACCAGGGCTGAGGATTGAGTCTATAACCCAGGTAGGTTCTCTTGGCCAGAATTGAACCCGTGACCCTTTAGTCTGAGGGCTGATGCTCTATCCACTAAGCAAAACCAGCTAGGGCTGTTCTCCTTTTTTGAAGCTGTTTCTCCTACTCAAGATTCCTCAAATTTCACATAACTGTTAGAATCAGAGGATCAATTTCTGACACAGAAGGAAGAGGATGTTGTTAGCAACCCACTGTGTTCACACTCGCATTATTTTTTATGAGAAATCTGAGGTAGTGCTGTTTCTCTGTTCATAAGGGGTGTTTTTTGTCCTCTGGCTACTTAAATCTTTTTTTTTTTTTTTTTGAAATGTCTTAGTGGCTTTGAGTGATTTCATTATCAAGTTCCTTCATATAGAATGCTTCCTGTTTCTTGTTTGTGGGGTCCACTAAGCTTCTTGCATCCAAACGTATAGTTTTCAACAAATTTGTAAATATTCCAGCCATTCTATCTTCAAGTGGCTTTTCTGTTTAGTATTAAACCCTCACCACTCTCCCTACCAACTGGCTATTTCTAGGAAAGGGGTAGTAGCTTTATTGCCAGCATGGTACACCATGATTATTCCAGGACTTAGCGCATATTAGTTAGCCAATATCCCAATGAACTAATGCATGAATTTCCAAGCAACAAAGTATTTGTCCTACTTATTCATTTTGATAGAGCAGGGTGTCTACATTGCTAGACATCATTTAGCAATTATACACCACCAGTTAAGATTAATATAATTCTTAGGTTTGCTTAATTAAGTCTAACCATCTCAGGCCAGGATATTCTAATATGCCTTCTCCATTTTTACTTATATTTCTTTTCACTGCTACTCCTGCATTTTAAAGGAGTAGGAAAAAGAAAGCAAAAATAAATTGAGAGAGAAAGGAGGGGAAGGGGGAATCGACCAGTGTCTCCCCCATAAATTCAGTTTAAAAAATGGACTCCACTTTTCAATGATTTAATGACCAGTATGGAATTTTCTGATCTTCACACCTACAAGGCTGCACTTAGAGAAATTTTATTGACTTACATTTATTTCAAGTATTAGACCATGTAAAGGATAATGCATATGTGCAAATGGGTGGTTCTTGGGTTTATGCCAATGGTAACAGCAGCCAACATTTACCGAGTATTTATTATGCCATAGGGGCTATTATAAGGATTTGTCCTGTTATTTGAAAGAGCATTATAAGTTATATATGATTATTATACTCTTTTACAGATAAGGGAGCGAGATTGCAGAGAGATTAAGTAAATTGCAAACATTTTTACAACTTGCAAGTGACAGAACTGAGATAAAACTTTAGGCTATCTAGTCAAGATTTCTTACTTTTACCTCTTCCAATTAGCACGCCTCAGCATCATAGTATACATTTTTCTAGTATAAAATAAATTCCCTTTTTGTTGAAAGTGTAAATAAGGCTGCATTTATAATTTTACTAGAGGCCTGGTGCACGAAATTCGTGCACGATATGGGGGGTGTCCCTCAGCCCAGCCTGCACCCTCTCCAATCTGGGACCCCTCGAGGGATGTTAAACTGCCATTTAGATCCAATCCCGGTGGGCAGTTGGACATCCCTCTCACAATCCAGGACTACTGGCTCCCAACTGTTCCCCTGCCTGCCTGCCTGATTGCCCCTAAATGCTTCTGCCTGCAAGCCTGATCACCCCCTAACCACGCTAGCCTGATTGATGTCTAACTGCTCCCCTGCCAGCCTGTTTGCCCCCAACTTCCCTCCTCTGCCGGCCTGGTCATCCTTAACAGCCCTCCCCTACAGAGTTGATTGCCTCTAACTGCCCTCCCTTGCAGACCTGGTTCCTCCCAACTGCCCTCCCCTGCTGGCCATCTTGTGTCCACATGGGGGCAGGATCTTTAACCACATGGGGGCAGCTATTGTGTGTTGGAGTGATGGTCAATCTGCATATTACTCTTTTATTAGATAGGATAGAGGCCTGGTGCACAGGTGGGGGCCAGCCGGTTTGCCCTGAAGGGTGTCCCGGATCAGGGTGGGGGTTCTCTTGGGGCATGGGGCAGCCTGGGCGAGGGGCCTGTGGTGGTTTGCAGGCCAGCCATGACCTGGGAGACCCAAGCCAACACCCTGGTATCTGGAATTTATTTACTTTCTACAATTGAAACTTTGTAGCCTGGAGTGGAGCCAAGCCCCCTGCTCAATCTGCTGTCACCATTTCTGTTTGGTTTTATGTATCTTCTATAATTGAAACTTTGTATCCTTGAGTGGAGGCCTAGGCTGGCCAAGGTGTATGGGAAGCTTGGCTTTCTCTATTGAAACCCAAGCCTCTCAACTGCTCTCTGTGGCTGCAGCCATCTTAGTTGGGGTTAATTTGCATACTCACTCTGATTGGCTGTTGGGTGTGGCTTGGGGTGTGGCTGGAGTGTGGGTTGAGCAGAGTGATGGTTAATTTGCATGTTACTCTTTTATTAGTTAGGATTATATCTAGGATTCTGCTGAAAAAATATGCCACAGAGAAAGATACTGAGTCCATTAAATTATTGACATGATTTATTCACATATATTTGTAAAGAAGCATGTGCCTCCCTGTTTTCTTCATGTTTGTGTGTCTGCTCTTTTTGAAAGACATAACCAACACACGCTTAACTTCCTTAGGGCTTTCAAAACATTACTTTTAAAATATATATATATTATTGATTTTTTTTTTCCCCACAGAGACGACGGGAGAGGAATAGAGAGTTAGAAACATCAATGAGAGAGAAACATCAATCAGCTGCCTCCTGCACACCCCCTACTGGGGATGTGCCCACAACCAAAGTACATGCCCTTAACCGAAATCGAACCTAGGACCCTTCAGTCCAATGACTGATGCTCTAACCACTGAGCAAAACCAGTTAGGGCAAGGCATTGCTTTTAAGTGAACATTACATTTTAGAACAGTTTCAGATTTTTATTTTATTTTTTCCAGATTTTAATTTTATTTTACTTTTTATTAAATTTATTGGAGTGACATTAGTGAATAAGATTCTATAGGTTTCAAGTGTAGATTTCTTTGATACATGATCTGTATCACAGAGTCTTTCTCAAAGCACAAATGTTATGTATTTTATTAGGTCAAATTCACTAAATTTTTTCTTTCACAAACTGTGATTTTTTTTGTTGGGGGGGTGGGTTAAGGAGTTATTGTAACTTAAAATTCACCACCAAATCCAAGGTCATACAGATTTTCCATTATATGGGTATTTTTCTCTGAACGACTGCATTTTGCACTTTGACCTATAATCCATTTTGAGTCAATTTTTGTGAAAGGTGTAAGGTGTAGATTTATTATTTATTATAAGGATGACCAATTATTCCAGCATTCTTTATTGAGAAGACTATCCTTTCTCCATTGAAATATTTTTAAATATTTTTTTTAATTTGATGTTTTTAATATAAATCTTTATTGTTGAAAGTACTACATATGCCCTTTTCTCCCCCATTGCCCTCTCCCCCACTCTCTAAGCCTTCACCATTCTATTGTCTGTAACTATGAGTTCTGCATATACACATATGAGTTCATTGGTTGAAATTTTGTCAAAGATCATTTGAGGCACAATTATTTAATATGTGCGTGTCGTTAACTCAGTTGTCTAAAGAAGGTGCTATGGAGTCAATACTGAAGTTAAATCTTATTCAAGCAATTTGGATTCATACAAGCAAAATGTTCTTGGACACATGTGCCTCTGGGTGCTGGTTATTCCCCAGTCTTCTACTCTAACTCTGCCTACTGATGTGCAGATGTACATTTTTGCCTCTAAAGAGAGAACATATCCCAAATAGCTTTCTGTATTAAAATCCAGCACTAAAACAACACATGTTGTGAAAATGATAGGTCTTTATTGCCCTGTTAGTATAAAAAAAAATAAAAAACAACAAAAAAAACAACAACCAGAAGATCAGTTAAAATGTGCTTGGTTAGTAGCCGAACAGATATTAAATCCTTTGGGAGTCAGTGGTCCTTCCCCAGCGTACAGTGGAATTGCAGGCTACGTTTGTCACTGCCGTTCCACAGCGCAGCCCCTGAGCTAGAGGGAAGGGGGTCATGAAGAACCAAAGGGAAAGAATACAGACTATCCTGCTGCCGGGAAGTCTTATCCCAGCACTTTTCAGATACCAACAGCCATGCCTCGGCCTCTTGCCCTAATCTTTGTGGCCACAGCAAGTACACTACTGCATCCTTTCCCCCCACGGAGGAAAGTGTTTCTGATCACCGTTAGGTATTTATTTTTTTCTTCCTAACAGAAAGCACCATCTCTTGGAATTGTTGCAGCAATCAAAATTTAAAACCACACATGCCTGACAGCAAAACAACAGAAGTGTATGGACATTCATTTTGCAAGGCAAATCACTTCTATTCGAAAGCAAATAA